AATCCCACAACCCCTGCACCTTGGCCACTTAGACACCATAGATATTGCCAATATTTATAACAGTTGATGCAGCTGCATGAATAGTACACCAAAGAACCTACATGGAACCAAAGTCAATGCAGAATAGCCAACCAACACCCTAGCACACATCACCAGCAGAAAGTCTTACTATTAAAGCCATCCTGTGAAGTTGGTAGAAGTAACTGGCCCACCTGGTTCACAAAAAAAAAAAAAAAAAAAAAAAAACAAGAAACATGAGCCAGGCATGGTGGGTGGCACACTCCTGTAATCCCAGAGGCTTGGGAAGCTGAGGCAGGAAGATCACAAGTTCAAAGTCAGCCTTAGCAACTTAGCAAAGCCCTAAGCAATAGCAAAACCCTGTCTCAAAACAAAAAGTAAAAAGGGCTGAGGATATGGCTCAGTGGATGGCCACCCCTGGGTTCAATTTCAAGAAAGGAAGGAAGAAAGGGAGGGAGAGAGGGAAGGAAGGTGAGAAAAAAACAATGTAATGTGACAGCTCCAAAGGAACTCAACAACTCTCTAGTAATAGGACACAAAGAAAATCAACTAACACTCATACATTGCTGGTGAGAATGCAAATTGGTGCAACCATTATAGAAAGCAATATAGAGATTCCTCAGAAAACTTAGAATGGAACCACCATTTGACCCAGCTATCCCACTCCTTGGTTTATACCCAAAGGACTTAAAATCAGCATACTACAGTGACACAGCCACATCAATGTTTAAAGCAGCCCAATTCACAATAGTAAGCTATAGAACCAACCTAGGTGCCCTTCAACAGATGAATGGATAAAGAAAATATTGTATATACACATATGGAATATTACTCAGTCTTAAAGAAGGAAATTATAGCATTTGCAGGTAAATGAATGGGGCTGGAGAATATTATGCTAAGTGAAATAAGCCAATCCCAAAGAACCAAAGGTCAAATATTTTCTCTGACATGTGGGTGCTAATTCACAATAAGGGTGGAGGCTGCGGAATAGAATAGAGATACTAGGAAGGATAATAGAATGAACTGGACATTATTATCCTATGTACATATATGATTACAAGACCGGTGTGATTCTACATCATGTACAATCAGAAGAATGAGAAGTTATACTCCACTTATGCATGATGTGTCAAAATGCATTCTACTGTCATGCATAACTAATTAGAATTTAAAAAAAGAAGTCAACTAATGTCTAGCAAAAAATTCAAAAACATCATTTTAAAGAAACAATGAGATACAAGAGAATACAATTTAACAGAATTAGGAAGGCAATTCATGATATGAACAAGACATTCTACAAAGAAATAGAGTTCATAACAGAGAATCCAGAGTTAAATGCAATAAATGAAATTTAAAACATAGTCAAGAGCCTCACTAGCACAATCAATCAGGCAGAAGAAAAAACTCTGAGCTTAAAGAGAAGTCTTTTGAAATAACCCCATCAGATAATTGTTTTTAATTTTTATGAAGAAAGTCTTCAAGGCTTATGAGACACCATTAAATAAGACAACATTTACATTATGGGTGTTCCAGAAGAGAAAGGAAAAGGTATAGAAAACCTATGAGAAAATCTCTGAAAACTTTCCAAATCTAGGGAAAAACATAAGCACCCAGGTCCAGGAAGCCTAAAGGACCCCTAATAGTTTCAATCAAAAAAGATTCACTCTGAGCATATTATAATCAAACTGTCAATAGTACAAGAGAAAATTGTCAAGCCATTTGTAAGGTAGTCCCCATTAAACTTCTTGGCAGAAACCAAAGAGGCTAGGAGAGAATGGAATGGGCCATTCAAAGTCCTGGGGCAGGGGGCAGGAGGAATGCCAGCCAAGTACACTAACAAAACTATCTTTCAGAAATAAATAAATAAAGGTCAGTGGCAAGCAGAAGCCAAAAGCCAAAACTAGTGCAAATGTATAGCCACCAGAGGGCCCACAAGAAATGTTTGAGAGTCCTAAATTAAAAGATAAAGGGTGGCACCTACCATCATGAAAACATGGGGAACTATAAAATCCAACAGTAGAGCAGAGACCCCAGAGAAAGAGAATGGAATATTATCAACACAGAAAACTATCCCCTCAAAAGATGAATAAAAGGAGAGGAAGTAAACAAAGGATCTGTAAAACAACCAGAAGAATTAAAACAGAACAGCAGGAGTATTCTTTTACTTATCACCTTGATAGTAAAAGGATCAAATGCCCCAATTTAAAGACACAATTACTTGAGCTGCCCCCCAAGGACTCAGCAGCCTCCCCCTCCAAAACCCGTGCTGCTCCCTACTTGGTCTCCTACCTCACAGCCGGCTCCCACAGCCACCTTTCTGCAGGCTGTTTGCACCAAGGAAAAGAAATCTTATCCTTATGTCCACTATCCAGAACCTCCACTCTTTTGACCCCTTTGAGGATACAAGTGAGAATGATGAACTGCCTCCTTCTGGCACTGAGGATCATAGCCATATAAGAATTCAACAGAGGGCTGGGGTTGTGACTCGGTGGCAGAGCACTTGCCTCGTACATGTGAGGCAGTGGGTTTGATCCTCAGCACCACATAAAAATAAAGATATTGTGTCCATGTATAATTAAAATATTTTTTAAAAAGAATTCCACAGAGAAACAAGATGACCCATACTACAGTCCATGGGATTGCTTATGATTAGTGATTAAAAACTAGTGAAGGTGTTTAAGAAGTTTGCCTGCAATGGTATTGTGCTTGAGCATCCAAGAGTATGGATAAGGGAAGGGTGGCCAGAACAAAAACATATGCCAGTTCCTGACGGAGATTGGACTGGCTAAGGGTGATCAGTTGAAGTTTCCCGGGTTCTAAGCATTTGTGGCTCACTAATACATGAGGATTTCCTTGCAATGAACAGAATTTCCCTTCTGTCCCTTTTTCCAAGTTCCCTATAGTGTGATCCCACTGACAACACTCTTAAGATTACAAAAATCTCCAAATGGAGGAAAGATCAGTGGTTGCCAGTGGGTTAAGAAAGGGATAAAGAGTGGAAAGGAAGTGAGTGTAACTATAAAAGGGCAACAAGCGGGATCCTCTTGGTGAAGAAAATATCCTACATCTTGGCTGTATCAGTGTTAGTATCTGTTGCCACACTGTACTATAGTTTCACAAACTATTATCACTGGGGGAAACAGGGTAAACGAGTACATAGGATCTCTATATTATTTCCTATGACTGCATATAATCTCCAATTATCTCAAAAAAAAATTTTTTAAAGAAAAAGTGAAACACATTGATTATTGAAAATTTCAAAATAGACTGGGAAGATCTAGTTTGGTTATTACACTGATACACTAATAGATGTAGCATTTATTCATTTGTGGACTTTTCATGTATATTGACTACTTTTAACCATAGCAGAAATATCTATATATTATGTTTTCCCCCTATATATTTGCTTCAAAGCCTCCTGGGAGGTCTGAAGAATTACACAGGAGGTCCAAAGTTCATGGGCAGCTCCCTTTGAGCAAAAATCCTAGAGCAGTGATAGAGTGTATTCCTTCTTGAGTACCATCTTTGACAGTTATATTGGCCATTTCTAGTACTGTACCATAAGAATTTTGCAGCAATCTCCACTTGGTTTATACCCAAAGGACTTAAAATCAGCATACTACAGTGACACAGCCACATCAATGTTTATAGCAGCTCAATTCACAATAGCTAAACTATGGAACCAACCTAGGTGCCCTTCAACAGATGAATGGATAAAGAAAATATTGTATATACACATATGGAATATTACTCAGCAATAAAAGAGAATAAAATTAGTGGCATTTTGGATGGATGGCATTGGAGAAGATAATGCTAAATGAAATTAGCCAATCCCAAAAAAACAAATGCCAAATATTTTCTGATATGTGGATGCTAATTCACAATGGGGGTGAGGGGCTAAAGAAGAATAAAGGTACTTTGATAAGACAGAGGAAAGTGAAGAGAAAGGAGAGGAGTATGGGGGTAGGAAGGAGGGTAGAATGAATCAGACATTATTACCATATGTGCATATATGATTACACGACTTGTGTAACTACATCATGTACAACCAGAAGAATGAAAAGTTATACTCCATCTATGAATGTGTCAAAATGCATTCTACTGTCATGTAGAACTATTTAGAACAAATAAAAAATTACAGGAAAGAAGTGTCATTCATTCTGGACTAGGGACAAAGCTTAATGGCAGAGCCTTTTCCTAGCATGTGTGCAGTCCTGGGTTCATTCCCCAGTACTGAAAAATAATCCATTCTCTGGCATAACCAAGTACATACTATGACTTATATATAGTAACTCTTCTATAGTTAACCCTTCATTTCACTATCCACATTGTATGAGAAGAACAAACAGCTTCAGATTTTTACAATTATTTCTCTGTGCTAAGAGTATCATTCAGTCTCTAATACACCTTCCTACTTCATGGAATGATAAACCAAGAAACATTATTAGCTCCTCTAGTATCATTCTCTTATTGAATTATTTGTATCTATTCTTACATCTGTATATATATACAGAGGAAAACTGGAAAGACGGTCACAAATACTTAAGAATGATCATTTCTAGTTGAATGGTAGATTTTTATTCTCACAATGGTGTTTTCCTGCTTAGGTTGATTTCTTTATATTGAGCATGTATCACTTTAGAACAAGTCATGATTAAGTCTCAAACAAGTCTTAGAAATGAGCCAAATTCTTACACACACACACACACACACACACACACACACACACACACGGAAATGTTGCAACTTAAAAAATAATTTTCAAACAAGCTGTTACTGGACTTATGAAGTAAAACTGTTATGTCAGGCAATAAACTTGAAGCCAGAATACTATATTATCAGGATCACTCTTCCTAAAATCAAAGACTAAAAATGGAACTTTTAAAACGGCTAGGGAAGAAACACAAACTTTTAAAACTTCCTCACAACAAAGCAAATTTTAGGAAAGTATTTAAAACAGTACATTTATTTAAACTGTCAATTGTCATAATTCGTTGACTCTTATCCAGGTCAATAGCTTCATTTCATACCATATTGAATATATTTACTGGTTTTACATAAAACTTCATATAAAACTAAGAATTAAAAGTACAACTAAGAGAAAATACAGAAATTTTCCATATACTTCCTGCCCTTATATACACATATCAGTATCCTGAATCAGTATGGTACATGTTACAATTCTCAGTGTAGTTTTTAATTTTTATCTGCTTAATTTTCATCTTCTTTATTGCCATTTTTATATCTCTTAGGTGAGGGGTTCAGAATTTGGGACCATTTTGTTTTTTGGTTATTTTCTCATTTGAATCTTGAGGATTTTTAAAATTTTTTCTGGATATAAATCTTGGTCAAAATGTGATTTGCAAATATTTTCTCTTAGTCCGTGGCTTCTTTTTTCATTACCTTTTGCTGAACAAAAGTATTTAATTTTAATAAAGTCCAATGTATGTTTTTAAAAAGCACAGCTAAGAACAGAGTTGGGATCTGTGTGTGAGGATTCACCATCACACAATCCAGTCCCTAATGTGGTTGTTTATTTTTTTTCTATTGCATGGGCCTCTCAACCTTCAATTTGCTTTCTTTTTAGAGAAAATGAAGCCTCTCCTCTGATCTCTCTCCCAACACACGTCTGGCCACCATGTTAATGTTTTGTGTTGATCCAGTGGTACCTGTCCACCCGGTGCACAGCAGCAGGCTGCCTATAACACTTAAAATTCTTATGCAAGACATGATGCACATTCCCTGGGAGGCCTATGCGCCCATCCATCACATTCTTTTTGCGGGGGATGTGGAACCAAGATTGAAAGGGCTGTCTTAAGTTTTCCATCTGGAAAAAAGAAAGAAAATACAAAGATTGCTAAACTAATAGGTAGCTCTGAGAACTAAACATGAACTCACAACTCAGAAGTGAAATATCTCAAAAGCAAAAAGATTACAAATGAATGGAAATAAAATTAGATAATCATCTATAGAAAATTTTCCAGCATTTCACATACCTTAAATTTAAATATCACCTTATATTTTTTATGAAAACTAATTCTTTAATTTTTTTTTCAGTTGGATTAAGCACATTATTCAAATCTTCAATATTCTTGGATTCTCCCTCACCCCATTCCAACTTGACCCCTGCCACTCCGACCCAAAACTGCCTGATCATGATCTCTGGGGCCAAGACCCAGGAGGACCCCTTGTAAATATTTCAGATGACTTACACGGATATTTTACAGAAGATACTTTGAAAATACCTATGAAAGAAAAGAATCGACTGACTACAGATCTGATCCTTAGATGGAAGAAATCTTTCTAAGCCTAAAAATAAAATCAAGGGTAAACATCTTATAATTTAGTTTTAAATTGTTATAGAGAACTATATGTAAACTATACATATAAAGTTTAGAAGACTAGGGGAAAAATATTTGCTAATAATATAAAATACTTCTGACTGGCCATAAAGGGTCTATAATGCTACATTAGCTGAGGGGGAAATTCAGAAGACAGTAACTACCTAAAACATTTGGGCTTATGGAGATTTTCTGAGTATTTAGCTTCATACGTACTATTATAGATACCATTTTTTTAATCAAAGTATTTTTTAAATGAGAATAGGAAATTTTAGGGGGAAAAATTGGTAAAGCAGATGCTTTCACATGGAGCTAGCGAGACTACAGAAGTACAACTTTCTAGAAGGGCTTTTGTGCATTTTACAAACCTGTAAAACGTCTACACCCAATGACCTCATAATTTGATATTTGGGAATCAAATCTCATGAAATAAAATTCAGACATCACCATACAAGTTAGCAGTTTTATAAAGCAGCAATGTGGAAATAATCTAGAATGTTTGCTGATAATAGCAAATTACAAGGAAGGTAATTGAATGTTAAAGTATTAAAGCCATTTAGTATTTTGAAACATAATTAAGATACAAACATAAAATACAAAGTGTTAGAAAGTCTAGATGAGTCTTTTTCAAACTGGGTCATGAAATTAAATTAGGTGCTTGAAATCAGTTAAGTTCATATATGGGGCAGAGCTGCTAGAAAGGATAAGTATTGTTTCATAAAACTTATTTCTTATATGAATATGTATATCTTTCCATGAGTTGTGGTTTAGAGAAAAAAAATTATTTGAAACTGCTTCTAATTCCCATCCCTTCCTTCCCTAGTGGCAAGAATTTACTCTTTACTGAATATTCCAAACTTTCTATAAATGAGATTATTTTTTATTGATCCCTCCAAAAAAAAAAAAAAAAAGTCCTTAATATTTACTGAGGGAATTTAAGTGGAAGGAAACCTGTGTGTCTTTAAATAATGTATGAAGAGACAGGAGGACAAGATCACAGATCCTAAGAATTCAATCAAGTAGAGGTAATGTATAGAGGCGTGGGACCAGAAAAAATGTTGCCATATTATTAACATTGTAGAGTTTTGTTTTGTTTTGTTTTTAACTGTATAGTTTCATTCTTTCCACATTTTGTTTCTTTTTGAAAGTGAACACAGCCTTTCTAGAAATAGAATAGAAAAAAGTACAGAGAAGAACTTGACCTGATAGATACTCTTCGGATTGCTGACTTTAGGAATGATCCGGGGTTCCTTGCTACAACTTTCTTCATCAGAAGAAGTGCCAGAGGAGTAGTCTAATGTGGCTTTATTAACAGCATAACTGATTTGTTGGGACAGTTCCCATTCCTCCCATCTGCCCTTAAAAGAAGCAATTATAAATGGATGGTTTTTCTCACCATACCTAAATAGGAAAATAAATTATTCATTAAGGATTCAACTTCCCACAAATTTTATCTCTAATCCTGTCTGGAGACAACATGTTAACATTTAAAAAGGGTTATTTTAAAAAGGGATGGGTCTAAAAATACAAATCAAAGGACATTATGACCTTCAGCTACCACACTGTTGTAATTAGTGAGGACATCCCGTAAGAGCTATTTTGGTTAATTGCTTAGGAAAAGACTAAGACCAATTTCTTTTAGTTCAACTAATGGACTAAATTGCCTCCAGTGGTAGATAATTCCCCTTTCTTCCCGATATTGTATATAATACTTAGAAGTTAAATCTATAGTTTGCAACAGGGTGCAGCCGTTGACGTCACATTGCAAGTATTTTGCAAAATTTCTGGCCAACCTTCTCCGTCCACTCCTGTGCTATCTATCAGAAGTTTGCATCTAAAATCATAGCCAAACAATGTCCTGGCTGAGGCTCTGGAGCACTGTCTTTCACAAAGGCATACAGAGCTGACCAAATAACCTAAGGCTTCCAGGAGTCACAGCACACAAACTCAGATTACTCACCTACAGCACACTTCAAAGGGATCTACCCATAGGGTCAGCTCCTTTGGAAGTCCCAGGTGAGAAAAATTCACATTACTCTCAGCACAAGCCCTTTCTAAAATGGGGTCTTTATTCTGATTGTTTATCCTGATACACCTTAGGGATCAAAAGGAAAGGGAAAGGAAGTGAGAACACGATGACAGGTACTTCAGCAGCAAAATTATGTTGTGGGCATCCTCCCGCACACACAGCTCCACTCACCCCACCCCCCTCCACCCGCCACTCTTACAAGTAGGAATGAAACACCAATTTTTGATGCAATGATTCAGAATGTGTGTTGTATTACTAAATCATGTGATTAGGTCACCAAACATCTTTCATGAGAAGAACAAGTTAGAAACTGTCTAAACCAGGCATCATGCACCCTGGGTCCCAGCTACTCAGGAGGTTGAGGTGGAAGGATAGTTTGAGCCTAGGAGCTCCACACCAGCCTGGGGAAACACAGTGAGACCCGGTCTCAAAAACAAAATGGAAACAAACAAACAAACAAAAAACCAAATTGTCTAATCCACCACACAGGTAGGTCTATAGCTTTCAATTACACTGTCATGTTCCTATGGCATTCAAACCCACATTCAAACAAATGAATTTGAGTCCACAACACTTTTTTTTAGTTGTCAATGGACTTTAATTTTATTTATTTATATGTGGTGCTGAGAATCAAACCCAGTGCCTCACACATGCTAGGCAAGTGCTCCACCACTGAGCCACAAAACCCAGCACCCCCATAACACTTTTGAATGTGTTAGACAAACAACAAAATTCCTGCATTTTCCTAGAGATGGTCTATGTTGCCCATTACTTGCCTTTGCCATGCCACATATGAGTTCTCTCACCTGAAGGCTTGCCCTTTGGAAGGGCAACCAGGGTGCCAGTGACCTCTGTATGTTTCAAACAAGATTATCATCAGCTTTTCTGCAAATTTTTCTATTTGCTGTTTACTCAGTTTTTCATGTTCCTTCACCAATCTTGTGACAAAGAAAACTGCTACTGCAATTTCATCTCTCATGATTCCAAAACAACCTATGAGGAGACCTGAAACCACTAAAAGGAAGCAAGAAGAAATTACATAGAAATGAGGACTTCATTATTGATATACAATTGCCATTTGGTAATATTATATAGTTTAAATATAGTAAAACAGAAATCATTTGCTAGAAAGAAATCCTTAGTGAACTAAATAAGCACATCAACACTATCAATCAACAAAATAACCACGAATACCAATTCCTCAACTTGCTCATTTTTAAAGTTTTCAAAGGAAAGAACTTTAAGAGCTTAAAATACTTACAAAATGTCATTTTGCAACTTAAGTAAAAAAGACCCTAATATGGGACAGTAACTTACACCCAGCACCACTTTTTAAAAACACATTTACAAAGGGCAAAACATTTTAGCAGATAGTACGCTGAAACCATGGCTTACAAAGTTGCACACTTTAAGATTATCAATCATATACTTGCCAGAAAAATCTCTTTAGTCCCCACAAAACTAGACCAGAGTTTAAAGACCAACTATGCTATACACTTCTTGCTGCCAGATCTCACTCACACCTGTTTTGTGAGTGCTGGGCTGCAGCTTATATAAGCCTGGGCCTTAAAGGCTGATTGGTGAGTGTCCTCACACAGGTGCTGTACCTTAGGATAAGCACATAGCTTTTTTTCAGGACTCCAGTAGATTGCTCTTTGGCAGATAAAGAGTGGGTTCTTCAATTAAGGTGTTTAAAATTTTTCAAGCAGGATTTCTATCTTCTATTTATCTTGCTACTAACATACGACAATGAACAAGAATGACACCTTCTTCTTCCATATCCTAATATACTACAGTTCAGTAATTTCATCTCTAATTCTGTCAACATAGTAAATTTCATCTTGGATCTTTAATACACTTAAACTTTCTTTGAATAGTTGTTATATTGACTACATACTTTTTAACTAAAATTTTTATTTGTAGAATAAGAGGAAGAGACCTGAGTTTAGTTTCACTAGTTTTCAAAGGGAGGGTCAGTGACCACCTGATTGTACTTTCTGGATTGCATGCTAAAAATGCAAGCTCTTGTACCTTAACCCAGATCTGCTGAAACAATCTTCTAAAGGTAAGGCATGCTAATCAGTAGTTGGCAAGTTCTCCCAGATGATACTTATACCCACTAAAATTTAAGAATCATCACACCTAATATTGTAGATATTTATCACCCACAATTAATGATCATTCGGTTTCTTTACTAGAGAAAATTAATTCACTGTCTCACAAAAGTCTTCCTTCCTATGTGGAACCAAATTCACCTCTTTGATTTTCTACATGTGCAGCCTAGTTTTTCCCTCTGACACTAGACAGACTGTACCTAATTCTCCATCACAAGATGATGTTTCAAATATTAGCTACTCAACCCCCTGGGTCTTCTCTTTTATGTTATATTTAGACACTAAATTTCCATCTTGTTAATTGTTCTTCTGTAGACACATTACACCACTCACTGTGCTGAGGACTCACATCCAGAGGAGATTCAGGTGTGTCAGTAATGCTCTTTTTAAAGTGTGGGTCCCAGACTTGTGTACAAAGCTCCAGGTGTGTTCCACCAGTAAAGACTAGTGTGGGACTGTCGCCTCGCTTGCTCTGAATGCTGTCTTCTAGGAGGCAGCCTCAGGTGGCATTCCCCTTGTTGGCAGTGGCCTCACCCACGACCTCCCACTGAACTTGCAAGTCGTTTTTCTCATGCTGTCGTTTGTCACATCTTTCCCTTCCTGCTCACTATGACATTTAAGACTTGGATGCGAACTGCAACTTTACAACTCACTAGCTGTGTGATTTGGGGGCATCTTGCTGAATCTGTAACTTTCAGTTTCCTGTCTGCGAACAGGAGGTACCACAGTAACCTCATAAGCTTGTTATCAAGATTACAATCAATAATTAAAGCATCTGGTCTTAAAGCTGCAGGAAAAGAGAGAATACAGCAGGGTAGTTATAAAATCAACATTGTGGATCAAATCCTAGTCCTCCAGCTTACTAGAAACTTAAAGTAAGTTTCTCATCCTCTCCAATCTACAAGATCTACATCTGGAAAAATGGAGTAGAAATGTGCCTTGGAAGAATTTGGAACTGCACTGCTGACTTTGGATCCTGGCTCCATTTAATGTATTACCTTAGCAAATTATTTAACCTCTCTGTCTCTCAATTTCTTCATGTATATAAAGGCTTTAACAGTACTTACTTTATAGGATTGTTATAAGAATCATGTGAAATGTCTAGAAGAGTACCAGGTACTCAGTAAGTACTCTGTAAATGTTAAATATTATTAATGTTCCTTCTGTGGAATGAAATTGGCCAAATTATAATACTATATTATGTGCATGTACAAATATGTAACAATGAATTCCACTATTATGTATACATATAATGCACTAAGAAAAATGTTAAGTTGATCACATCTCTTTAAAAAAATATTGCTAGTACCACTACTACTATTGTTTTACAGGATTCTTGTCAAGATTAAATTATAAAATTTACATAAAGCACTTAACAGAGTGCCTGGTATAAAGCAAGTGCTCAAGATGTGGTAGCCCTTCTTATTAACACACATAAGGAAAGGATTTTAGACTTATTTTATTAGGATACTTTTAATGCTATGTGGTATAAATGGAGTATAAAACAACTACATATACAATTATACTTATCATAATTCTTTGTGCTTATTTATTTATTGTTATGGCACTGGGGATCAAACCCAGGACCAGAGTACACTGCCACTGAGATACATTCCAGCCCATCGTGTTAAATTTAAATTCTGGCTACAGTGAGTCCAGATTATTTGTGACCCTGATTTCATCATCCAGTAAATTATCTTTCTGGCTTCCTGTCATCTGTACATTTGATAAAAAGACCACTTGAGACCTCCAACAAGCAATGAATAAGGAAGTTGAATAGGATTAAAGATCAAGCGTTTTGACAAAATTCTAGGAAATCGAACTTTAGTTTGGTGTTCTTTCCACTCAACCAATTAATTCTATTATCACACAATGGAAAGGTAGTCAATTGGAAATCTGCATGCAGTATTCTTTTAATCTATCAAAAGAGTAACCTTATCATAAAAGGAAAAGGCACTTTAACCTGACATGCCTTGTTCTTTGGGAACTGTTATTCCAAGTAATACCAAATTCAACCATGCCTTATTTTAAAAAAGTTACTAAAACAAATTAAATGTTTTTAAAAATAGTAAACTTGAAAAACATATGTAGTTCTTAACTACAAACAGGTCAAAATTTATAGTATATGAACCTGATATTTATAATAATAATATATGAATCTAAAATTTATCATCAATAAGCTTCAGATCCTAACATCTGAAAGTAAAAATTTGAGCTTCTTTGGTTTCATAAAATTAGTATAATTCAAAATTCTTGTACTAGTATAGTATAAACCACAATGATATACATAAAGATAGCACTCATGGAGTTCATAAATTTCAGACTCAGGTAATATTTGTGGTCTGAACCCTGAAACTTATCTGTTTATAAACTAGTTTCAATAAAATGAAGTTAAAAAGCCTAAGTTATAGTTACATCTTCCCTTCTCCTATGGTCATGGACAAATTAATTAATTTTACTATATCTTTGTTTTATCTAAATCTACCTGTCTCAATTTTGCTTTGAGCTCTTCAGAAAAAAAGGGCAGAATAAGATGTCTACTGCAATATATAACATGAAAAATAGTGGTAAAATAAAGTTTACTTAGAAATTCAAAGTAAATGGAAAATCAAATGTTCTGATCTTTAGGATCTACTATGCTTATAATCTAACAAGATGAAAAACATATCTGTTGACAACCCTCACACACACACAAAAATAAATTTCAAGTTACTCTAGAATACATTGGAATATATTCATAAAGACAGAGCTTCAAGGATTTATTTTTTAAGTCTTTTAGTAGCCTAATTATTGATACTAATATTAGTAGTACTATTAAAGTGATCATATGAATATATAGAAACAAATAGGATAGAGTAAATCAAATATTTAATGTTCTTAATGAAATAAGATTATTATATAAAAAAGGGATAATAGTACAAAATCAAAGAAATTAAGTAAAACCCTATAGTGTTAAATTTGAAATGGCAATATGAATTTGAACTTGTGATTTTGCTTTCAAAAAATAGTTATTTTAGCCTGTCCACTGAACAGACCTAGAAATGAGAAATAAGCAAACTTCATTTTGTGGTCTCTACATATCATTCCCCACTTAAAAAAAAAATGCCCAAATCCAATTCTAGTTCAGGTAATATATGAGAAGAATCTGGAATGTCTTTCTGGTAGCTATAAAAGAAAAATGGGTCATGTCAAAAGACACAACAGCCAACTTGAAGAGCTCCCAATAGCCAAAGTAAGTCAATATGAACACCATAGCTGGAGCCATGGTCCTCCTTCAGGAACAATGCAACCATCCCCCAACTATTAGAAAGATCAAGTGCTGACAGTTCATAGTTGCATTCAGGAACTGCTGTGCTCAGGAACTGCCTCACCTAAAGTTATCCATACCTCCAAGACATCTACAGTCATTGACATGCCACTTTGGGATATAAAAACCTTCCCTTGGCTTAATTTGCAATAACTCTGAAGGGCTATCCCATCTTGACAGCTTCCCACAAGATAGGCCAAGGCTTCCAATGCAACTTAGTCAGTGATGGCCTCTCCTTCTGCTCAATCCTATCTTCCCACTTCCTCACTTTCCCAAGAAATACACCTTCCACATGCAACTCGCATCTCCTAGTCTGTTTTAAGGAACCCAGCCTAAGACAATTGGTACCAAGAGTGTTCTAAGAGAGCATTCTCTAAAATCAGGTTCTAGAGCTAGATTACTCACTTGCTGACTGAAATAAACACCTCATGACTAGTAGTGGTGGAATATGGATCCATATAGCTCCTAGCATACCGAGTAGTGTGACTGCTAAAACTTCCAACAGTGTGGACTGAGACAGAATATGGATGTTAGAGCCTGCCCTGGCAATTGTCATATCTTTGATGTTTAAGAGTTACAA